TGCATGTCACTATTAATAAAGAGAGAGAAGAGAGACTGAAATAAATAATGAGTTACATTTTCATAACCATTTTATTAATTCTTTTAGTTTTCATATGATTGATATTACCTCTCACACCGTTTTTAATTTTTATGCATTAATCTTCTTCCATTCAATTGATCTGATGACCTGAAATTGAGAGGTATGTGTGAGAGATGAAAATTGGTATGTGAATAGCACCACCCTCTTAATCATATAAAAATTTATCAAGTTGGAGTTGGAGTTGCCTAGGCGAGGTGAAGGGTGGTTTCTTAATTCTTCCAAAGATTGATGATTATAAATCAATATCAGTAGATTCACTACAATAGGTAAAAACAATCGTTTGTCCACAAGAGAAAAAAACCTAGATCAAATCAAATCATATCAAATCCTTAATTAAATCACATCAAATTACTATTGAATCAAATATCTAAAATACTTTCCTTTGTATTATTTGTGTATCTATTATTTGTGCCTTCAGTATTATGATATGTTATACTCTAAGGGGGCGTTTGTTTACCTTCACTAAGTTGGACTGGACTGGACTGGACTAGCTATTAGTCCAATATTGTGTTTGTTCCATGCTGGGACTAACATTGAGCGTTTGTTGCGCCGGACTATCTCGGACTGGATTAGCTTCAAGGACTAAGCTGGACTGGCTTAGACTAGACTAAACTGGACTAACTTAGTGAAGTGTTTGGTGTAGTATTGGACTAAGAAGCTGGATAATAACAAATTCTAATATTATATTATTTAATATATAAATTATTAATATTTTATTACGATCTTATCTTTTTCTTCATCTTTTCCTACCATTTCCGTCCCACTCTTGTCCTCTTCTCTCATCGTCCCACCCTCTCCCTCTTTTTTTTCCTCTTAGACCTCTCAATTAATGTCTCTTTCTCATTCCTGATCAAACTCCTTATTGATTCCAGTGTCTATTTCTCTGTCATCCCTCCCTCTCTAGCTATGTGTTGTTCGAATGGAACCTCACGGCTCCAATTTTCGACGAGTTGCAGGTTTCCCGATGTGTTTTCCAGCCAACCCTCGTTAAATTGGATGAAGTTAGCACCGCCAAAAAATTCATCACCATCCCTAGACCGAGATCTTAGCTTTGAATGCCCGAATCTGTCATGGATTTGAAGAAGCCCAAACAGGCCGAGACTTCTAGGCCATTTTCCGGCCACATTCGACCATATTTTGGCCTCTATTCAGGTAAAATCGTAATCTTGTCACTCCCAGCTTCAATTTGGTATATTTTATATGAAAGTTGGTTGTGAAATGGATTTGAAAGGGAGTCGGAAAGTTAATGATTGATCTAGGTGACCGGAGATGACGAGGAGTCTGTTGGGAGTGGTCGTTGAGCATGACGAGGACGAGAAAGAGAGGATAGTCTTAGCTTGTCCCATGGTTATTGGGGGGTCTCGCTAAGACCTCTTAGTGAAGGGTTTTGTCCATGCTAGTCCTGTTTAGTCTCATTAATGTTAGTCCCAGCATGGAACAAACACAGTATTGGACTAATAGCTAGTCCAGTCCAGTCCAGTCCAACTTAGTGAGGGTAAACAAACGCCCCCAATGAGACTAAAGGGGACTAGCATAGACAAAACCCTTCACTAAGGGGTCTTAGCGAGACCCCCCAATAACCATGGGACTAGCTAAGACTATCCTCTCTTTCTCGTCCTCGTCATGCTCAACGACCACTCCCGACAGACTCCTCGTCATCTCCAGTCATCTAGATCAATCATTAACTTTCCGACTCTCTTTCAGATCCATTTCACAACCAAATTTCATATAAAATATACCAAATTGAAGTTGGGAGTGACAAGATTACGATTTTACCTAAATCGAGGCTAAAATGTGGTCAAATGTGGCCGGAAAATGGCCTGGAAGTCTCGACCTGTTTGGGCTTCTTCAAATCCATGACAGATTCGAGCATTCAAAGCTAAGATCTCGGTCTAGGGATGGTGATGAATTTTTTGGCGGTGTTAACTTCATCCAATTTAACGAGGGTTGGCCGAAAAACACATTGGGAAACCTGCAACTCGTCGGGAAAATTGAAGCTGTGAGGTTCTGTTCGAACAACGCATAGCTAGAGAGGGAAGGAGGACAGAAAAATAGAGACTGGAATCAATAAGGAGTTTGACCAGAAATGAGAAAGAGACATGAATTGAGAGGTCTAAGAGGAAAAAAAGAGGGAGAGGGTGGGACGATGAGAGAAGAGAAAAAGAGTGGGATGGAAATGGTAGGAAAAGATGGAGAAAAAGATAAGATCATAATAAAATATTAATAATTCATATATTAAATAATATAATATTAGAATTTGTTATTATTTAGCTTCTTAGTCCAATACTGCACTAAACGCTTCACTAAGTTAGTCCAGTTTAGTCTAGTCTAAGCCAGTCCAGCTTAGTCCTTGAAGCTAATCTAGTCCGAGATAGTCTGGCGCAACAAACGCCCCCTAAGGAGGCATTTGTTTGCCCTCACTAAGTGGGACTGAACTGGACTGGACTAACTATTAGTCTAGTCCTGTGTTTATTGTTGCACGAGACTAATGTTAATGAGACTAGCCGGGATTAGCCTAGACTAAGGACATCGCTAGAGGTTCTTAGTGAGAGTCCCCGAAAACCATGGGACTAGCTAAGACCCCTCTCTGCTCTCTGTTTCATGAGATGTCAACCACATCGTTCCCGCTCCCCTTTTACACCACCAGGCGGCCACCACCCTCTCCCCCCCCTCAGCCTGAACCCACAATCACGAGACCTCAGATTCGCCCATCCCTGAGATGCTTTATCGTCGAGCTTGTTGTCGAGAGGCAACACTTCTCTGCTTAGTTCCTCGGCTTCATCGACTCCCAATCTTACTCTCCCAAAACCATTTTCAAACACATATCTAACGAACCTGCAACGCTTCACCAGACAGCTTTTGTATTCGATCTCTCCTCATTCGATTTGTTGTGGGTATTTTGGTCATTCACTCATAACTCCACCAATCTGCTCCTATAGAAGAATCAGTCGTCGCCATATTTTTGTTGGACTGCTTCTACAGGTTGTGGCAAAGGGAGGCCAAGATTCTATTTCTGGGTTTGGATGGCGATTAGGATGATCTGGGGACTGGGTTGCCTTGGACGGAGAAGAAAGATGGGGATGGAGAGAATAGAAAAATGGAGAATTGTTATGAAAAAAAAAGAATAGAGTATACTAATAATATAAATTAAATAATATAATATTAATATATGTAGAGTAAATAATATAATATTAAGATTTGTTAATTATTCTGGTTTTTAGTCCGACACTGCACCAAATGCTTCACTAAGTCAATCTAGCTTAGTCTAGTCTAAACCAGTCCAGTTTAGTCCCTGAAGCTAATCCAATCTGAGATAGTCTGGTGCAACAAACGCATCTTAAGATTGTTGATACACGTCCAAGCGAGTTATTTTCTATAAACATGCATGTCACTCTCAATAAAGAGGCTGAGAGGAGAGAAAACGAAATAAATAACCAATTACATTTCCACTACCACTTTATTGATACCTTTAAATTTATTTATATATATCACATAAATAAATGTCTACTGAGGAAAAAGAAATACGTAATTGTATTGGAATACATAAATTGCAAAAAAAAAAAAAAAAAAAAAAAGCATAATAGATTATAAAGTATTATAACATATTCAAAGACCTAGAAATTAGTCGGAATGGTGACTAGTTGCCTAAAGCCTAAGCCAGACTTTAGAGGCACTAAGTGGGGATTTTAAGAATAGTGAATTTCATATGATTAATATAGGATGGCCTAGGCGAAATATTAATCATACAAAAATGTATCAAGTTGGAGTTGCCTAAGTGAAATGAAGGGTGGTTTCTTAGTTCTTCCAAAGGTTGATGATTATGACACATTGCCTCACGCCATTCGTAAGCATCAAACAAATAGCCTTCAAGGGTCATACTGTCCACTTGGTCCGAAAAGGCGAATAGTTGAATTCTCAGACTTTGGTTTTTGTGATAACAGGAAAATTTTGTGCTCCCCTAAGATATATCAATACTCTGGTGTTTTGGGCCGATAAATATTAATTATTTGTATATTGAATCAAGAATCTAGAACTGGATCCTCCTGAGCTCAGGATAGGGATCCTCCTCAGCAGTCCATCCAGACCGTTGAAATTTGATCCAAAGGCTTCAAATAGGAGGTTCCTCTAAAAGTTATAATAATTACAACTGTTAGATCAAGTTTGAACGGCCCAGATGGACTGCTCATGAGGATTCTCATCCTGAGCTCAGGAGAGGATCCAATTCCCAAGAATCTAACTGCTCCCGTGGTAGATGAACCCGATACTAAGACCATCTCCAACATTTAGAGTAAAACCTAACATTTTTAATCCAGAAAATTTAGGTTTTAACTCAGAAATAGTTTTCTGCTCAAACCCTTCTGATCTATAATTTTAGCCAGAGATTATTAAAGAATGAATCTCACCTGTTAGATTTAAAGGAGATGAAAATCCATGCCGTCTGATAAAAATAAAGGAGATGAGATTGCATATGGATGGCCGACAACCCCCTCAGGTGGGGCCCCACTTCCCCTCAAAGTGTCCCATTTTCCTTGCTTTTTGGTGCGTTGCCATGCTTTTAGCGTGTTAACTAGCCTTCTTTCTCTTTTTTCGCAGCACGTCTACGTGCACAGTGGACTAGGTCACCAGGATATTTAGCCCAGACCTATTTCTTAGCTGGTATTTGAGGTTTTTTTTTCAGTTCTAGTACTTAACCCAATCACTCCGAGGAAATTTTAAAACTTACTCCAAAGATTGGAGTTTGCCTAATAGTCTAATAGTACCTAGAATCTAGTACACACTAAAGTCGGAGGGAGGGGGACTTGAAATTCAAATCAGCCAAAAAATTAGAACGTTGGAGGAATACCGTTGGTTTGAACACGCGGGTCCTACAAACAAGAAAAAGTGTAAAGCATTTGAATTATATAAAGATTTGGAGCGGAAAGTCGGACGTCCACTTGTCAGTCTGGCTTTGGCAGCAATAATCCGAAGTCTCATCTCAATCTCTCGTACTCTCTGCGGCCCTGCCGGGGTCCCTCCCAACTTTTCCACGACGCTTTTCATTTCAAATTTCAAATTTCGAAATCGACGAGGACGACGACGAACCTGACGATTTATGCGAATCGTAAATCCGACGTTTGATTAAACAAACACACAAGGGTTTTGTTTTTTTTGCCTCAAAGTTTGGATCTTTCGGACGAAATCGTACCAGAATCATGGGAGAATCGACGTGTCTGATGCAGCCGTTCTCCTATGCTGCCGGCATCCCCAACGACGCACACGAGGTCAGTTCTTCGGTTTGTGTCTTTATTTTTTGTGATTTTTAAGGTTGAATTTCTATGTGCAGAACACTTTTTACTTGCTGGGTAGTTTTTGGATTTCGGTTTTTGAGATTTGGGTGTGAAAAAGTTCGAAACTTTGTGTTGTTGCAGGGGAACCCGATTCATGCTCTTGGGCAGTCAGTGTCGTTCGGGAGGTTCGTGTCGGAGTCATTGGCTTGGGAGAAATGGTCGACATTTTCGCACAACCGGTATGTGGAGGAGGCCGAGAGGTACGCCCGCCCCGGTTCAGTTGCGCAGAAAAAGGCTTTCTTTGAAGCACATTACAAGAAAGTCGCTGCTCAAAGAGCAGCCGCCTTGCTTGAACAAGCAAATGCTAATGCTACTGCTGCTGCTACATCGGAAAATGCACCAGAACCCAAATCTGAAAGCCGGGATCTAAAGACGAGGATTTCAACCTCTGAAGTGTTCGTCGATGAGCAAAAGGAAGAGAAAGTCGAAGAGAAGGTCTACGAGCCAAATCGAGAAGAAGAATCTATTGGTAAATATACCAATGACTATAATGCAAACACTGAAATGGAGAAATTTGAAAGCAGTAAGGTGCACCCTGTAGATCATGAAGACCAAGTTTCGGGGGAGAATTCGGTTGAGGTAGAACTTTCAAGCCAATGTGCTGATAAAGACAAGGAGGAAAACGGCATGGAGCTCACCGGCGCACCCCAGATCGAAAAGCCTCTGTTAAAGGTAAAAATCTTGATCTATAACCGATAAATTTCACACTCATTGACTCATGGAGGTTGCTGAAAACTTGTATTGTTGCTTCAGCAGAGTTACAGATCGAATCACGAAGCTTTGACACCAGTGAAAACGAAAAAAAACAGACTATTTAGTTCCTCCAAATCATCATTAGCATATCATAAAGCACCTAAAGTCCCATCTTCTCCAGCCAAACCCACAGCTCCCAGTTGTTCCAGAAAGGATGACATTATCACTCCGTTGCGTAAATATCCGGCTGCAGAACTGGAGGACAAGAAGAAATCAACTCCGAAATCACTTCACAAGTCGGTCAAATTTACGCCCATCAGGGAGCTTTCTAGACTGACTTCGACCGTCATGAGGAAGATTGAAAACTCAAGAGTTGGTGCTAGTTCTTCCAAGACATCAAAAGAATGCCTGACTCCTCTGAAGACTCCAACTACGGTGCCTCCCAATTTCTTTGAATATTTTGCCAAATTGACCGACGAATGCAAAACTTTGCCAAACTCGCTATCCGCTAAAGAATTTGTCTTTGGATGTGCAGGTATCTAGGAATGAGGTGCACAAACGTTCTACAACCACCCCGTGTTCAGAAAAGAGAAGGTAACTCTGATCATATGAAAAACAGGAAGCTTTCCTTTTTTCAATCGATATGCGATTCATGTCTGATCCTGTTTCTGCTTGTGTATTTCATGAATCACAGGGCCAAAACACCGCTTGATCCCTCAGCCAGTGGAACCAAAACTCCTGTGTCCAAATGGCGTTTACTCCGTACAGAGTATGTGCCTATCTTTTGTCATTTTTCCTGTATAATTCACATGTAGTATCATGAAAGAATATGCAAAAGCAACAAGAATTCTCACATATGGACATAAACATCTGAATTAATGGTTATGTGGGTCTCACGTAGCGCCAATCGTTTAGGACGTCGAGTTCTTATGATTTTCCCTTCTCCCAATTTTCCAGTTGTTCAAAGTTTTTGAGTGCCTGCAGAAACAAGGCGAGGTCACCATTTTCATCGGCCCCTATTGCTTTAAGAACTGAAGAAAGAGCTGCAAGTAGAAAGAAGGCAAGGGTTTTGCCTATTTCTTTGTTATACATGTTCCCGAATTCTAATCATATCTAATTTATGAGATAGAGTTACATATGTGGTTAAAGTTCTAATCGATGTCATGTTCTTGTTCACCGCTTACAGAAGCTTGAAGAAAAGTTTAATGCGAATGAGGAACGAAAGGTGCAGGTGCAAAGAAAACTCAAGGTTGTTCTCTAATTACCAAGCTTCTTCAATCCTTTCTCATTTTTAGTCCGTACAAACCATCAAAACTTTAGGGCTAGAGGTGGTTTGGTTTACAACTTCGGCTTAATACCTTAATCGCTATGGTTATGCAGGAGGAAGAAGAAACAGAAATTGGAAAGTACCGCCAAACCCTTTGCTTCAAGGCGAGGCCGCTTCCTGATTTTTATAAAGAAAGAAAATCACCAAGGAACGAGATACATAAGGTAAATGTTTGTCCTCACCAGTTCAAATGCTCCTCACTGAAAGCAAAAGGTTTTTTAATGTTCGGTTATTTTCCCCGTTTCCTTCCTGCAGGTTCCAGTTACTCCTCAGTCAAAGAACCCAGGGAAAAAGCCCACTCCAAGCACAGTTGAGAGCTCAACGTCTCTACCTCCTAGTGGAGCTTCAATCAAGAGCATTGGCTCCAAGAATGTCCTAGGAAGGAATAACCGAACCCCAGGAAGGAATGACCGAACCCCAACCTGTTCTCTCATTTCACGATCCTTCAAGACAACTCGCGAGAATACTTCTCCAAATATTCAACTTGGACAACCTAAGCTTGAAAACAAGTTTCTGTTGGAGCAGAAGTGAGACGTATCAGTCCTGAAAGCTTCGAGCAACTTTCAGATAGTCTTGATCACACCGCGTAACAAAATGAGTTTGCTGAGACATGGAAATATGCATAGAGATTGTGAGCAAATTCGTTCTTGTATGACGAGTGTAGTTTGCAACTAGTATTAGTGGACAAAGATTTGTAAGATCTTTCCGTTGTTACTTGTACCACGATTTGTTTCAACTCTAGTAAATGTAGAAACACTGGAAAACAGCAAACATGTGGAATTTCTGCTCTGCAGAAAGAATCTCATAATTTTTTAGCATCGAGCCCCTACGAATTAAAGAAACAAAAGTCTTTGGGAAACATGTGATATTTGTGCAGTGTTCTTTCAAGTCTTTGGGAAAGATTGTGCAGAATTTCGATGAAATCAGTCTTATAATCGATTGTATATAACTTTGAGTGAAGAGAAAAATAAACAGATAATTATATACGATGACTATCTCTACCAAATATAAATACTTTATGAAGAAGTCGAAATTGAGAAATAAAATTTTCATTGTTATCAGTAACTTGTACATCAAGGATTCAATGAGAAAGCAGAAGGAAAGAAGCAAAAGGATGTTGACTTCATCCACATTAGAAGGAAAACAAACAATAATTAAACCACTAATCACGTTTGTGGCACTAAGCACCAACCATCATCTTCCTTAATTTGTTGATCAACCACGTAGTCCACATTAAAGAAACCCATCTCTTCATAAACACCATGATGATCAACATCATCAACATAATTTTCCACCGTTCGATCATCATTTCCATCATCATAATATCCAATTGCATAACCATTGATTTCGTGAGCATCATCGCCATCGTCATGGTCATTCTCATAATCGTTAGAGAGATGATCCAACATCTCCGTGGCGGACAAACCCAATTGATTATTCAAGCCGGTTTGCCCGTCCACGACCCGCCAAGTGACCAACCGATGATTGGAAACGACGTCGGACGACTTGAGCTTTTGGTTGCCCTTGGTCTTTTCCTTGGCCTTGGAAGCCGGGTGAATGTGACACTCGGTGCACTTGGACTTGCCGCACTTGCCCGTGAACTTGGAGTGGTTGGTGGGCTTGGTTGGCACCTTGGTGAACAACCCGGCCGTGGGTGGAGACTCGGACTTGTTGATGTGTCGGGTTGCCGGTCTTGGGTTCAACGGTTCCGGTAGGATCCGGTATGTCCGGACCATTCCATGTTGGCGACCCTCCCTCTTCATAGTTGACAAATTGGGGTGTGGGCTAATGAAAAAGATGATGGAGGTGTTGATGTTTTGCTGCTGGTTATATAGTGCAAATGAAAACTTGGGAAGCACGGTGTCGTTTGGTGGGTAGATATTTCGTGTTGGCCAAGCCATTGACAAAATTGACAACTCATTTGCTTGTGTATGAAGGTCTTTCTGACTGTTCAACTGTGTTTAAGGGTGGTTTTAAGAGCCTAATCAACATTTATTAATTGAATTAAAAAGGTTTTTTTTTTTTTTTTTTTTTCAATTTGTAAATTAGCACGTCAAGTAATGTTGAATACAGCCGAAATTAAAATTTAATATTAAATAACTTACATACCCTCATATGCAATAACAATTTCAACCTTATGATGTTTTTAAATACACCTCAATCACATCTAACGTGTATATCCCAAGATTACCTATCGTTTTCAACTCTCAAAATCACTCTCACCTCCATTATAGAACAAAACTGCTGGTAAAACTGGACACTTCTGTTGGTAAGAATATAATTACTGACTAAACTGAAACGTTGTATAACCCCAAAAACAAGAAGAAGAAAAACTCATTCAGAGTATCTTGATTTTCTATCCAACGATTCATGGAGGCCTTCTATCCAATTTTATACATACACCTTACATTCTTCTTCAACTAGATTTCATTGTTTTGCGATCACATAGAAGTAAAAAATAAAAATATATAAATATGTATTTGCACCTAATATGTGAAGAGTGTAGGATGTGAAGGTATTATAAAAAAGTATGTAAAGTGTATTAAAATAAATTTTAATTCATCGTTTCATATTATAATCTAAATCGTTTATTTATTTTTTTATTTTTTATTTTATGTTTTTTTCCATTAGTTAGGATTTGGAGGTGGGTGGAATCGAACCTTTAACGAGGTGGGTATTAACATGGCTAAAGTACCTCCAAACTCACAGGAATCATTTATTTACTTAATCATTATTTATAGGTTTATTATACAAAAGATCAATTAAACTCGAGATTGTTTAGTAATTCATATTCATAGAACAAGTCAACGATTCATCTTGAAAATGCTAGTTTTTGCCAAACTCGTCATTTTATTTTATGAACATTGGTGATTAAATATGGTGAAGATACATTAACTATGAATGAACGAGAAAGAAGGTTCATCCATGACTTGCAATGTTTAGGATTAGTTTCCCAAGAGGCAAGAACTCGCATAGCTCCTACGATTCACGCACTCTACAGGAACCAACAAGCTCGTGATTGTGTGCTTTTCTTCAAAGTTTGAGTGACATGGTTCTTACCAATTAAACCGAAAAACCAAATTAACCACAAATCACGCTTGTGGCACTAACGACTAACCTTAATCTTTGCTAATCCGTCACATAATCGCTAGAGAGATGATCATCGCCCGCCATCATCTATTAGATAACTTGGGTTCGGAGTTCATGAAAGTTCTCGAGCCTTCGGCTCTCAGTTTACCTCGAAAGAATAATAGTTCAGTAAAACTAGCAGTACATATAATTGCACTGCATAATGTTCATACATTGTGGCTGCTTTTGATGCTCCAAATACATGTTTGTTTTTATTTCCCTGTACACAAACAAAGTAAAATACAAGAGACAATCGAAAGCTGACTAAATCTTACATACCAGATGTAAGCTAACATCATACATGTTGAGAGGCCAAGCCAAGCCAAGCTCATAGCTCTATACGTTTTCTGAAACTGAGTCATCGGAAGACTTGACAAGCGGTTCTGTGCTCTCCTTGTTGATGATTTTAGGGGAGATCAGAGCTTTCTTTCCACGATACAGCACGAAATGTTGACCCATGAATAGAAGGTCAAAGAATATAGATATCTGAAAGAGCAAAAACCGTCCACGTATAAGAAAGAGGCATAAATCATTTAAAGAAAGAGACACAAATCAACTTAATCAAGACGTAGATATCAGTCCATACCAAAGACAGCAAAGTCTTTCCTATATTTCCATAAAAGTTCACCCAAGAATCTGGCAACGTGCACAAGTTAAAAATAAATTAAGCACGAAGGATTGAGGATTGATGTTATTGAACTGCAAATATCATTGGTTGAGGAAGAGATGATGAACCTTGATCTATAGACTGCATGGCCATTTGTGCATAATTAGCCACCCCTCCAGAAAAGTCAAGTAAAATGTTGCCAATGCTGAATCCATCTGTGCTCTTCCGCAAGAAGTTCATGACCGCCTAATTACGAAATGCATTTGAATCAACACAGGCTTACTGTTTTTTCATGATAAAATACTAATAAGATACGGGTTCATTCAGCAGTAACAGTTCCTTTCTTTTCTTCATTTCCTGTGCATCTATATACTCTAATTGAAGTGATATCAAATGTATGAAGACTATTCACAATGACACGGCATGGGTGATCCATTGATAAATGAGTACTCAAACATGAGAATTTTTACAAGGACTATAGAGTATAGAAGTCAATATTAACCTGGGGTATATATTTGATGCATGTCATAAAAACTTGAATTGAGCTGCAAAAATCAAAGAATTGAAGTTAGAACGAGAACTTTACAGAAATACAACTATCACAGAATAGAAGAAATCAGTATGAGCAAAATAAACTGAATAAGTTTTGAGGCGACAAAAATTAAATAGATCTTGACATCTGCACTGCTACAAATCATTCTAATTTGGATGGGGATGGTTAAGTTTATCCGTTTATGCATAATGAGGACTGACGAGATGAAACTATTGACTGTCCCCCGAGGAGATGCACACAACAGAATTTCCAATTAAGAAAGAAGCTGACTTTAAAATGCATCCCAAAGCATTGATGAGAAATTAAGTGAATGTCATGATTTCAACTGACTACATTGAAATTCGAGGGACTGAAACGTAATGGTAAGAATCTTACTTGAAAATGGAGATCAACCAAAGCCAGGAATGGCTTGGCAAAGCTAAGAAAACACAAACCGCAGCACCTAACCACACGGCAGCAACAATTCCAATGGAAATCTTGGAGAACTTCTGATTTCCGCGCTGCATAAAGCCATCAACGAAAGGTCACAGACAAAAGTTGCCATGACAATGACGATATGACTAACATCAGGATAGCGAACCTATAACACAGATTTTAAATCAAAACTAGGGAAAGAAAATCAAGGCACGTACTTCATAGATTAATATTTGGTACAGGGTAATTGCCGTCAGTAAAACAGCATGAATAGAGAATGCAACATCATTTGCTGCAACAGGTATCATCTGCAATAACAGGACAAAAAAGATTAGTACTTCCAAGTATACACAAATGACCTCTCCATTCAATCTCTCCCATATATCCTTCCTTTCAGACAGCACCGACTAATTTGATCATTTTGAGATTCCAGATGCTGCAAGTTGTGAGTTGAACTTCTACTCTCAGTACTTACAGTAGGCATGAAATTATTAAGATTTACGTGCTAAAACAGCAAAACACACAATCAACGAAGGGGACTGGACAGCTTTCTGAAATGTAAAATTTCTTTACGGACTCAGAATCCAGTGTCCCATATGTAACCAATCTCCAAGAACCCTAAATAAGCCAAGTCTATCGAGTTTCATCTAAAACATTACATTCGTTGTGTAATCTACAAACTTGCATCAAGTATCAAAATTCAAGCTGAGCTAATTAACCCCTATTCGACTGAAATACAACCTAGCCAATTGTGAAAATGTAACTTTCAACACGAAAAATCGAAGCTTTGCGAGTGGATACAAAAAGCACAGCAGCTGGGAATATAAAAAACAATCATATGAACAAGTAGCTAGTTGGGGAAAGCGAAAACAGAACAAACCTGTTTCTCGCCGTACTTTTCGAAGTACTGCATCTGGACGGCGGAGCTGAAGTAGAGAGTGGCGTTGTAAATGAGGTAAGAGGAGTGCTTCGTCAAATTCAGCACCACGAAATCGAAGTTCAGACCCACCACACTGAAATCCAAACACAAATTTTCAAAACCCACCATCCAAAAATTAACAAGGGAAAAACCCATTTCGAATAAATAATTTGATTGGAATCGAATTCCGGAGAAAAATAGGGACGGAAATTAATCACCTTTTCCGGCGGAAATTCAAAACGACTTGCGGGTAGAAGCTGATGGACCAACTCACGAACGCCGCCCATCCCATCACTTCGTATATGATTTCCAGAGGAATCGAATTCCACGACGCCATTCCTTCTCTCTCTCCTACCGATTCCCCACTCAGCCGGCGGCAGGAGGATTCCGAGCAGCCGTAAATTTGGTCCGGTCAAAAGCGCGCGGAGGGCGCAAGAGTGAGAAGAAAGAAAGGGGCTTTTTTCTCGGCAATGCAATCGCTTTGACTAGTCAGATTTCAACCGTAATTCGCCAGTCCGTTCCATGTGGGCCCCACTCGATGACGTGGCTCGAGCTAGCGACGTACACGTAACGTTATGGAGCTACGATTGGTGCTCTTTTTTATTCTCCAAAGTTTCTGTAGGAGGGGTGAATTAGGCCATCTTCGCGGGCACGTTCATCGAGCTCTTTCTGCAGGCCCATGATTTACAGTTTTTGTTTTTAACGTATATCCCGCCAAATTTCATCGTGGGGTTGGTTGCTCCGTTGTATGCATGCTAATAGGGCAAGGATGTTTCTTATTGTGGTTCCTTCATATTTTTCGCGGACGAGTTACAGATTCTAGTGTAGCTAAGTTTGAATCTTTATTTACGGTTAGGTTTGGGTTTGCATATTTTCAGTTAAAATATATTTTGAGTACTAACGTTAGAGAGAGTATTTGTTGTACCACGAATGAAAAATAAGTGTGAATCTCTTATTTTGTTTGTTGTCCTCATAATACAAAAAATTGTTCTTAATAATAAAAAAAAGTTGTCAAAGTATTTTTTTAATAAAAAATTGTTTTGTGAAGGATTTTTTATGGGTTTTTAAAAGAAAAGAAAACTAATAAAAAAAGCTTGAAAACTTTGAGTTTTAATGATAAGAATAAAATAAAAGGTAAAGTGAATAGTACATGATTGAATTTTTAGTGTAAAAATACGGTTTTTCGTTAAAGTAAATAGTACCGAAAGTTTTTTGTTAAAATTCTCTTAAAAGAAACGGTGTGTGCAAGGTAAAATATGAAAGATCAAAGTCAAAATAGAATAAAGAAAAATACAATGTTCAACAAATAACCTTAATAAAATGCAAAATAAAACATTGATTTTAAGACGAGGCGTTTCAGATTTCAATTGTAAAAATGCTTAAAATTGTAAAAAACAATTCGTGGGGGTGGAACGAAACACTTAAAATTGTAAAAAACGCTTTGACTTTTCAGATTTCAGTTGTAATTTCGTTCCATGTGGGCCCCACTCGATGATGTGGCTCCACCTAGCAACGCACACAGAAATCCCATCGTCATCGAGCTCTTTCCGTGAACCCAATGATTTTCAGTTTGTTGTTTTCAACGTATAAGGCGCCAAATTCCATCGTCATCAACCTTATTTTAGTTACAGATCTGGATGTAACCAAGTTCGAATTTCTATTTGCATCTAAGTTCAAGTTCGCTTTCTATTAGTTAAAACTATATTATACGGACTAATGTTAAAAAAACTACGTAACATTTCTTCTACGCACATTATTTTTCACAAAGCAAGTACTAGCGCAATTTCGTTAACTCTCGTTTCTTTACAAACATGCAGCTGAAACACAAAAGGTAACCCTTCTTTTGGCCGGAACAATGTACAAACGGGGACCAATGTTTACAGTTGATGTGTGCTAATATCATGTACATCTTGACATCAAGCCAGGCGAAGATCTATACGTCTTCACGGACTGCGTGATCGGAAGATTGGAGCAGCGGCTCTGAGCTCTTCTTACTGAGTTTCGGAGGGATCAGCGCTTTGGCGGAAGGATAGAGCAGGAAACGTTGACACATGAAAAGAATGTCAAACGACACAGATATCTGCAAGAGTAACAAACCAACATGTATAAGCAAAAGCGGAAGAAAGTCGTGTGTCAATGGCTTGATATGTACTAGAATCATTTAACGAAAGAGGTTCGGAACGTTGTTTCGATTCATACCATAGATAGCAGCATCTTCCCCATGTTTCCATAAAAGTTCACCCACGAATCTGGAGAAGTGAATAAGTTTTAAAGGAAATTAAGCACAAGGGTACTATCGAATTGCAACTATTGTTCGGTTGAGGAAGAGACGATGGCGGACCTTGATCTATAGACTGCACAGCCATTTGGGCATAATTTGTGACTCCTCCAGAAAAATCAAGTGAAAAGTAGCCAATGCTTAATCCATCTGTGCTCTTCCTCATGAAGTTCATGAATGCCTATATTTCGAAACGTTTTGTATTAATACAGGGATGCTGTGTTTCGTGACTTCAAATCGAAACAACATGAACAAAATACTTAATCAAGGTGAAGCAAGTACTGACCTGGGGAGTATATTTGATGACCGTCATGAAAACTTGAATCAAGCTGCAGCGGTATTAAGTTATTATTCGAAGTTAGAAGCGAACTTTGCATAGATCGCGCTATGACATAAACCGAAAATTTCTACTCATCTTCAAGGCAACAAAAGCAAACTGAAGCTTGACATATTCCAACAATCATTGGTTTAATGGGATGAAGTAAGAAAACGAGCCGACTTCAAATCCATCTTAAAGCATTGACGAGAAATGTAAGGAGGATGTTCCTACCTGAAAATGTTAATTAGCCAAAGCCATGAACGGGTTGGCAAAGCTACGAAAAAACAAACTGCGGCACCTAACCACACCGCGAGCACAATTCCTATGGCAATCTTGGATACCTTCTGGCTTCCGCGCTGCATAAAGACATCAACAGAAGGCCAGACGTAAACATTTCCACGAAAGAATTATGTACTAATTAACATCAGGATAGAACACAAATGTGACTGATTTATCATTGACTTACTTCATAGATAGCAATTTGGAACAGAGTAATTGATGTCAACAAAACAGCATGGGCAGAGAAAGCAACATCATTTGCTGCCACAGGTATCATCTGCAATTTGCAATCATGTACAAAACCCAAATATGTAAGTTCTCTTGGGATTGCTTCTGGAAAAGTCAAAAGTGCTTTCAGACAACTAGAAGTGTTTTTAGTGACATTTATTAGAAGTGCTTCTTAGTTATGGAAGCCCTTGACACTTGTAATGCTTTTTGGGAGAAGCATCTATCAAGTAGAAGCGCTTAGACTTTCCTTTAAAATTTTGTTGTGCTTTTTGCGCTTATGAGTAGAATTGCTTTTCCAAACAGGCTAACCTTATTCCTCATGTAACTTGTATAAAAAATTAAGCTGAGCTAATTATGAACTTGTTTGGATGTGCTTCTAAAATGACTAAAGCGATTTTAGAGAAAATATTTTTTTATTCCAAAAGCGCTTAAAAGTGCTTTCTGCAAGAAGCACCACTTATGTGCTTCTTTTAGGAAGCATTTTAAGATCTTTTTCAAAATTTATTTACATTTTTATTAAGGTTTGATTTTAAAAATATTTTCACTAAAAACGTTTTCAATCATTTTAAAACACGTCCAAACGCAAGCAGTATGACATTTGCTAATCAACTAAATAAGGCCTACCCAGATGAAACAAAGTAGACTTCGACATGAAAATGGAAACTTTGATATGGAGGGAAACACAACAAACCTGTCCTTGGCCGTACTTTTCAAAGTACTGCTTCTGAACGACGGAGCTGAAGTAAAGAGTGGCGTTGTAGATGAGATAGGACAAGTGCTTCGTCAAATTCAGCACCACGAAATCGATGCTCAATCCCACAACACTGAATCCAAATCCAAATCAAAATTCAAATTCCAACCCACCCACCAAAACTTAGAAACTCATTTCGAATAAAGACAAAATTTTGACTGGAATCCAATTCCGGAGGAAATCGAGATGGGATTTAATGACCTTTTCCGGCGGAAATTCAAGATGACTTGCGGGTAGAAGCTGAAGGACCAACTCACGAACGCCGTCCATCCCAGCACTTGGTACGCGACTTCCAGCGGAATCGAATTCCACGACGCCATTTCTTCCTCCCCCACTTTCTCTATCTCACCTCCCGATTTACCACTCGGCCGGCGGCCGGAGGATTCCGAGCAGTCTTAAATTTTGTCCGATTGAAAACGCGCGGAGAGAGCGAGAGTGAGAATTTGCAATGGGAAGAGCTTAACTCAGTTTTTCAACCGTAATTCGCCCGTCCGTCCCAGGTGGGTCCCACGTGATGACGTGGTCCCGCTGTTTTTTGTTTTTTGTTTGTTTGGGTGATGCGGGCCTGTCACTTTAGTTGGGCTTTCAAGAAAGAATTGGCATTTGTGGGCCTCTCAATTCAGTTGGGCTATTGTAGTTTCCAAGTAGCAAAATCTTAATTTCGAATAAATTATAACAATGATTTTTTAACTTTAACTCAATTGAAACAATAGTCGTTTAATTAAAAATTCATTACTTTTGGCCCCTCAACTTATTAAAATGTGCAGCTATGATCCATTACCATTGGTCCCTCAATTTTAATCCAACTAGAGAAACGATCTCTCAACTTCAACCGAATTGGAGCAATGATCTCTCAACTTTAACTTAATTGTAGCAATGCTCATTCCATAATTCATTTTGACAAAATTCTGATGAAGTTGATGAAAATGATTATATCTACACGTTTTGATGAGTTAAGAGATTCCAATTCTAGCAATAATCCTTTCAACTTAATATATTTTGACAAAATTCTCAAACTGACGACTATACATTTTGATGAGCATAGGGAACGTTCGTACAATTTAATCTTTCAAATCCAGTTCTAAAATTGGAAGCTCACTCTATTTTCAATCCATGGCGAATTTGCTTATCAACAGAACACTGAAATCAATCGGAAACTCCAAACTGATCGGAGCTCTCTCTTCTCGAGCTCGCCACCTCAGCTCCGCCGCCACCGCCGAGCAGCCCCCATCCGACGGCCCATCTTCGCTCTTCACCTTCTCCTCCGACGGAAAAGAAGACAAGAGCAACAGAAATACCCAAGAAGATGACAGCATATACGTCAAGTCGCCGTCGAGTTCGAGTTCCAAGCGCGAAGCGGCGTCGTCGGTGACGATGCCGATGTCGTTCATGACGGGGTCCATCGTGGGAAAGAGGTTTTACAATCAAGTGACGACGAGGCCGGCCGACGACGGGAATGGGTGGACTGTGATGCTCGATTACCGGACGCTCAAAACGCCATCGAATAGGCCCCTAAAGCTTCCTACTTTAGCTCTGGCAAAGGCCATTGCGGCGGAATGGGAATACCAGGTGAGCTGATTTTGTGCTCTAATTTCAATTTTCATAAGCTTAGATCAATAGGGTTTTCGTTTCGCTGAAAGTTAAAATTTGAGAGCTTAGCTCAATTGGGTTTTACTGAAAATTGCAACTTTTTTACTTTCTGGGGCCTGTAAGTTCATAGTAACTTCACTCAAATGAGTTTTGCCCAATCGAATTTTCGTTTGCTCCGTAATTTAGGTGTAAGTTTTGTTTTCTAATTTGGATGTTTTGCATTTTAGTAGTAGCTCAATCCAAATTCAAAGTTGATAGCAAGGAAAGTAGGGTTCTTTACGAATTGAGCTTCTGTTCCCCTATACTGCTATCGAAAAGATTTTCGTCGGAATTACATGTTTTTCTCTACTTGTGTGAAGCTTCTGCTTGTTATTATGTATGGTGAGGTGATTTATCTCATGAAACTTTATTTATTTTAGGAAACAGATGGGATTAGGCCCTTTACAATGCCTCTTATGAAGCATGCTTGTACTGCACTGGAAAGAGTCCTCTGACTCGGCCAAAGGTTATAGATTATTTGATGAAGAAATTTAATCAAGATTTACTCTTCTGTCGCGCCCCTAACGGCACTGATATCACTAGTGTTGTCCATGGTACGATGTTTGTTCGCGTGTCTGATTGTTTGCTGATTTGATTCAATATGTATTCTGATTCTCTTTAAGCTGCAATACCGTTATCTAGATACAACAACAACAAAGCCATTTCCCACTAAGTGGGGTCGGCTATATGAATCCTAGAACGCCATTGAGCTTGGTTCTGTGTCACGTCTTCTATTAGATCCAAGTACTCTTTAGTCTTTTCTTAGAGTCTCTTCCAAAGTCTTCCTAGGTCTTCCTCAACCGTTATCTAGATAAAGTTTCATTTCTGCATTCTATCAACAAAGAAATCAGTGTAATTCATTCATTCTTAGTCTCTTATACGTTAAAATCCTGAGTATACCTTACGTGAAATTGCTTGTGCTTCTCCCTGAAGTGTATATTTGTTGCTAACACATAGCGCCCCAAATTTTATGTAGACCGACAAGTGGAAAAAATGGATCCTTTGCTTGATTGGGTGAAGTCAGAATTTGGCTTCAAGCCTGCTGTGTACTCCAGCTTTTTTGGTGGGAAGCAGGAGGATGGTCTCACAAAGGCTATAGAGACCCTACTGAAACAAACAGATGACTGCGAATTGGCAGCAATTGACGCCATTGCATCATCAGCACACTCTCTAATAATTGCCATTGGAATTTTTCGTGGGAAGTTACAGATTGAAGAAGCAATCGAGTTGATCAGACTCGAAGAAGATATACAGGTCTTATTCATTTATTTCTCTCTCTCTCTCTCTCTCTCTCTCTCTCTCTCTATATTAAATTTGTGCTGACATAATGGATTATGGCTCGTGGGCATAACAAACTCTTGCGAAGTCTTAAAAAACCTCATCTTATTTTGCAGGTAGACAGGTGGGGTTTGGTTGAAGGCGGTCATGATGTAGATGCAGCTGATCTCAGGGTACAAATCTCATCAGCTACTGTATTCCTCTGTCTGTCAAGGAGGACTTAATGTTCATACACCTTTTCTCTGTTCTGTTGCATTTTCATATCTTCGTAAGAGCGTTCTTAGGAGGAGGTTCTTAGAATGCTTACGATGTTATAGATATTTGAACTCTTCCCTGTGCTGCTCAATTTTTTGTGAATTTTCTCCTGTGATTGATGAAATGAGGTTAAAGGAATCTCTAAAAATTGGCTTTGATTCAGTGCAATAAAAAAAAAAGATCTCTCGGCTCCCTTGTACAATACGGAGTGAAAGAGCTAGTTTCTTCTCTTGTACAAACCCCTTCAAATTCGTTTCATTGATTTCATGGAAGTAGAATGCCTTGAAAACACAGTAGATTACTATTTGTTTTAATGTCTCGAAATTATGGGAAAGAAGTACAAATCAATGCTAGAACACAGATTGATGTTAGAATCGAAAGGCCAGAATGCAGAACTGATGGTCTCATATGATATGACATCAAGGATCTTCTCTACAGCAAAGCACACATAGCGGAGGCTGTTTGCTGATATCGCAGTCACAACAGGCTGTGTCGCAGTCATTGTTGCATCCTGCAGAAAATCATGCTAATCACATTACTTCAGCCCCAAGTTAGGTCAAGCGAAACAGAAGCGTAAATCGCACAGACAACGGAGTTTGATCAGATCACCTGTTATGGTAACGTATTCGTATGGCTCGAGGTCTACAGAGTTTCCGAGAAAAGAAAGGCGAGTGCTTGCTTGAACAAGGTTGGTCCTCACTGCTATAAAGATCATATAAACCAAACACCCAGCTACAGCTGCCATCATCACCAACTTCATCGTTCTGATTTCGACACAAGATTGATAGATTAGCTTCTCAGGTGAGTTTTTCTGTCGAGCAACTCTCTCTCTCTCTCTCTCTCTCTCTCTCTCTCTCTCTCTCTCTCTCTATATATATATATATATATATATATATAGGCTGTTTAGCTGTTGAAGTTTAGGAGAGAAGACAACCTAACCCAATTTTGAGAAGAGTCACAAGTATGAAAATCTGTGGTATAAAATGTCGAAAAGTATATTTGTATGAATCATCCTATACATGTGTGAATAAAAGGATTTAATCTTTGCTCGATATGTATTGTTTTATGCCTTTTTAAGGAATCACAACTGTAATGTGACCTAGCAATATTTGCCTTTCACATCGACAGATTAACCGAGTTAAATGTCATAGCCTCAAAAGGAGAGAGGCTATGACATTTTACTCTGTTAATTTGTCGGTGTGAAGGTCACCGCTGCCACATGGTTTGTGACATATCAATTTCGTCGTTCACCGATGTTCTGTACACGGATAAGTAATATTATGTAGCTGGGATTCAGATTTTCGAATCAACGAAAAGCTTCTAGTTCAACATAGAAAGCCAAGCAATATAATGACACAGGCTCTCAATCAATGCTGTGGATACGAAGTTCGGTTGAACTGTAAAAAGCATGGGTGTTAGACGGACTCGACGCATGCAAAACAAGGTGAACCATGGCACACAAAATAAGGTAGGCTTCGCTTACAAAAAAACGGATCGGGCTTTTGGCACACAATACTAGGTGAGCTACGTGCATGGAAAACAAGGTTGGCTCTATGCCACCAAAACAGCGTGGGTTCCACGGATGCAAAACGATGCGAACATCTCATGTGCAGAATGAGACGAGCCTGGGCACACAAGACAAGGCGAACTCTACTTACGCAGAACAAGGCGAATTCCCAGTGCTCAGAAAACTAGGAGGAATACATCGCGCAAATCGAGGCTAGCTGAATGAAGAATTTGAATTATTTTTGTTAATTTTTCTTTTATTTCGCTTACCACCACAACAAACTATCATATTCATACTCTACAAAAGTATACTTTTCCATGCAAAATCTATTATAATTCGTGTTTAAACACTTGTAATCAACGATTTAGAATCTAAATTTAAAGATATTTGAACCTTTTTTTTTTGTTAGTTTTTCTTTTATCTAAATCTAAACTACATATTAATAGAATCCTCTTTTGTCAACCAACAAAGGGTGAGAGACTACTTAACAAAACAAAATTTTGCTAGTTTTTTGTATATACCTCACCTATAGGTAATTTTAACAACTCTATATTGTTCACTTTTTTTTTTTACTTCTCGGCTTAAATATTCTACTAAATATACATTTGTTTCTCGATAAATCGTAAGTCCGCTTCCAAATACATTATAAAGATTTCCTTAATGCTCACGAAAAATATTTCGAGAAAACAAAAATTTGCATTTTTTTACAAAAATGTGGATTAACACTCACAGTTTTCAGTCGGTTTTGCAAATTCGTACATAAATCATCGTTCAATCTATTTATTTTCACCTCCGTCTCACTGTGAAGTATTGAAAATCAAGATGAGACCTTCCGTTGAGATTCTTGAGTGTTGAACCCCATTTGACAATGTTTTGGGCCTCACTACTATGTCTTTCACCTATTTTTTTAGTTTCCGGCTCAAATATTCTACTAAATATACATTTGTTACTCACTAAACTGTAAAACAGCTTCCAAATTCCTTAAAAATATATAACTTAATGCTCATGAAAAATATTATGCGAAAATTAAAAAAAAAAAAAATTGTATTTTTGTCAAAAAAAGCGCGAGTGTTAGGCAGGCTTAACTCATGCAGATCGAGACGAACCATGGCACACAAAATAATGCGAGCTCCACTCACAAAAAGCGAGGCAGGCTTCTGTCACGCAAAACGAATTGAGCTTTAAATCGACGAACAATTGAATAGAATAGTTTCGGATCTAATATTACGGATGTAATAAACAAAATCTTATTAGTTTCAGGACTGAGTTTTCTGAAAAAAATAATTTAGAGACCTAATTTTTATTCAGGTGATAATTTAAAAACTAAATCTGCAGTTCATCTTTGTACTTATTTATAAACAAAAGCAACGTAGAACAACGTGCTTTCCTCCCAATTTTATAAAAGGGATAAAAGATACAATTAGTTCACAAATTATTTGCTCAAACCACAGAACAGCTGAATCCTCAAAAAATTCCCAGAATAACTGGTTAAACAAAACACACTATTTGCTTTCAGAAACTTAGGGCTTCAGCTGGAGCTGCTTGATATGTTGGATCTGCTTTCCGGGGTTCAAACCCTTCGGGCAGGCACGAGCACAGTTCAATATGGTATGGCACCGGTAGAGCTTGAACTCGTCATTTACGGCATCCAGACGTTCCTCCGTGTATTCGTCACGGCTGTCACTTATCCACCTGCACAACACCACAAATATGACTCAAGATGTAGCGTTAACCTCTAAGGATATACAAAGAAAATGTACAACCTCAGGAACTGCATATGCAGAGAAGAATGAGTACAATTAAGAATGATTTGAGATCCTAATCCGAAAAAACATGGATTATTGTATCGTACTACTAATCTTTTACTTGTTTCAAAAGCAATTTTTTCGTCAAGTTAATGCCTTTTGAAGATGGCACCCAGCACCCTTATCAAAGCCTTCGAAATCAATCTCATTAGTACCACTACCACCTAGGCCATGAGCTCCGGCATACAAACTGCAGCTCTATGTTAGTTTCTGTCAAGTTTACAAGTAACTAGCTCCAAAACTCTTCCAGAAAGTACAAGCTAAGGACAAACAACTATTATTCTCGGTCATTCAGCGTTCAAATCGAAATACAGATAACCGAGATGGCTGAGAATGAGGGTCATAATCAGCCCTCTAGGTTCTGAGAGACATCCTAATCCGAAAAACATGGATTATTGTATCGTACTGCTACTCTTTTACTTCTTTTGAAGGCAATTTTTTTCATCAAGTTAATGCCTTTCGAAGATGGCACCCAGCACCCGTATCATCACCTTCGAAACCAATCTCATTAGTACCATTACAGCCTAGGCCGAGCTCCGGCATACAAACTGCAGCTCTCTGTTAGTTTCTATCAAGTTTACAAGTAACTAGCTCCCAAAAACTCTTCCAGAAAGCATGAGTTAAGAACAAACAACTATTATTCTCGGTCATTTAAGATTCATAAGGCTTTGTTGTTGTCGTTGCATTCAGCGTTCAACACGAAATACAGATAACCCTAATCACAACTAAACTTGCCAATCAAAACGATACACACAACAATCACACAATTTTTGTACCCAAACAGCAAAATGTACCATCAATGTTCAACCCAACACATAAACATTAACCTAATGTACCAATTCATCCTACATTAAGCATGGATTAGTTGCATAAATCAAAGAGATTATCAAGTTAATCCATCAAACAATAATCCCGAACAAGTTCTGAAATTCAGATGAACAATCGAGAGAAATGAATGTACCGATTGGCGTGGAGCAAGGCGGCTGGGCCCAAATAGGACTCAGGGTTCCACCAGTAGCTAGGGCAGGATGTGCTACAGCAGGCGCAGAGAATGCACTCGTACATCCCATCCAGCTTCGCCCTATCCTTCTTGCTCTGCCTTATCTCCTTCCCATCCAGCTCCGCCGCCGGGGTCTTCCGCTTCAGCCACGGCTCGATGCTCTTGTACTGGTTGTAGAAATTCGTCATGTCCACCACCAGGTCCTTGATCACAAACATATGCGGCAGCGGCGTGATCATCGTGGCGCCTGCGTTCGACGGCGCAATCTTCGTCAGGCAGGCCAGGCCGTTGCAGCCGTCGATGTTCATGGCGCAGGAGCCGCAGATCCCTTCCCGGCAAGATCGGCGGAAGGTGAGGGTGGGGTCCATCTCGTTCTTTATCTTGATAAGGGCGTCCAGCACCATGGGCCCGCACTCCTTGAGGTCGATCTCGTACTCCTTGAGCTCCGGCTTCTTCGGGTTGTCCGGGTTCCACCGGTAGATTGAGAAGGTCTTGACGTCCGTTTTGTCCCTGGCCTTGAGGTCCACTTGCTGGGCCTGAGCCTCCGACGCCATGATCCGAACGCACACATAACGAAACGACGCCGCCGTCGATCTAGACGACGCCGAAGCAATGGCCCTCCGTATCAACCCCGTCGCCATTGTTGCGTTTCTGAGCTCCTAAGAGATCGGGAGAGAGAGAGACAGTGGGAGACGACAGGCGTATTTAGGAAAAGACGGAAATGCCAGAATTGGTTATAAAGGAGATGTCTCGAGCTAGCAAGGGCTTTTCTGTAATTGTAAATGAAACTAGAGGATTAGATCGATTCCGTGTCGGGATTTGCTGCGCCTCCCGTGGTTTCAGTGGTGACGTGTCCGACGGGGAGCCGTTTGTTTTTAGGTGCGAGCGCGGTTCGATTGTATAACAGTCGTTTGATTTTAGGCGCGGGTGCGCCACGCAACCACCGATGGAGGATTGCCACGTGGAAAAAGTGATTGATTCATTGCCCACGCCTCGTGGCTGGTTGTGGCCCAATCTCTTGTTCGTCGGCCTTCTCAGAGGCCCAACTTTGATGCTTCAAACGCAAAAAGAATTCTCCTGCTTTAATTACAATACACACTTTGAAGTTTGGAATCATTTTTAAAAAAGAAAACTAACAAAAGGTTTTTAAAAATTTAGTTTTAATGAAAAATAACAAATAAAGGTATAAGTGAATAGTACTAAAAATGTAATTTTTTATTAAAAGTAAACCGAGCATGTTTCGTTAAAACTTCATTTAAAAAATAAACATAATCTTTCAGGTTTTTCACCTTACTACTAAAACTATTAAGCTACTCATTTTTCTAACTTTTTTTGGCCCATTAGACACAGTATAGACCAAAAAAATTCCCATCTGATTTCCTTGAAATGCAAGAACGATTTGGATTTTAAAAATTTTAGTATTTCAAGTAGCGGAGTGAAAAAATAGAAATATTGTGTTAATTTTTGAAATCGACTCCGAATCTCACGGGTGTATTTTGTAATTAGCTTTTTTGTTTTTTTTTTTCATGAAGTCACCCAATCTGAAAATTAACGTGGGAGGTGGACGAAAATGTTAAAACGCTAAAAATAGTGGGAGGGGATATTAATTTTAGAATAAATAACTAACAGTCACGTGATGTGATAAATAAAAGAGCGGCATATATCCCTGAACATAATATAGAATCTCCAAACGTTGTTAGGGAAGATTATGTTAGTATAAGGGGAGCGTGTTATTTGACTTTATTGTTAAGAATTTGCAACAAATGGACAGAACAACTACATGCTAACTACTAACTACTCACGTCACAATTTATGCCATCCATTTGCATTGGTTCAAGCTTTAGCTACGATCTCCTTTTCTTCCTCCCTTATCGCATACAACTCACGCCTCCTCTCTCTCGACGTTCTTCTTCTCTTCCAGTCTCGTTTTCCTCCGAATCTCCGCGTTTGCACGCCGCTCCTCCTGGGAATGGCCTCGGTGAGTTTGTAATCCACGTAATCTATGCATCTGCATTTCATTTCTAAGTTTATATGTTTTGGCCTCGATTCCGTCTTTCTCAACGCAATGCGTGTTGCTGAGAAGGACAACCACATAAATGTATACAACCGGTGACACTTAATAAGTTTTCATGTGTGTGTTTTATGCAGCAGGAAACGGGACGGCCCTTGCCTAAATTTGGAGAGTGGGATGTGAACAACCCAGCATCAGCTGAAGGGTTTACTATGATATTTACCAGAGCTAGAGATCAGAAGATGACCAATGGGCCGGCTGACAATGGGACTCCGGCTCCCTCTTCAACCAAATCAATAAACAATCAATATCCCCAAGAGGTAATTAACTTAACAACATTATTCAATCTCAATATGTTGAACTATACTCTAGTTTACGAGGGGCCGAGCGCGGGAAACTGCTCTAACCAACTTGTCTAATCTACAGTCTGCCACGAAATTGGTTACTTTAATTGTATGTCGTATTCGTTCCTCTCGGGGGTTTTGTATCAATGGTTGCTTCTTATTTGAATGCAGAAAAAATGGTTTTGCTGTTTGTGAAGATCTCCACGCTTTGGTGTTTCGAGAATCTGTAATGTTATTATATGAGTATTGTAATTGAATTATCTCTAGCTTTTGATGATTAATCCTTGTTTAAAGTTTAAACACGTAATTTTCCATGTCCCCCATACTTTTGTGTAGATTAATACATATTTAAATTGTAGGAAGAAAGGTGGCAAAGTAATTTGGATGAGAAGTGTGTTTCTTTTTTGTACTTTAATTTCCTCTATTTGATCATAAAATAAGAGGGCGAGGCTTGGTCCAACGGAAATGTTATTCCTTTGTGACCGAAAAATCATGGGTTTGAGTCAATAGAAACTGACTCTTTACCAAGCAAGGTAATTACTGCATACGATAGACGTTCCTCTAATCCTTACAAAACGAGAAAAGTCTTGTTGGCTTGTGGTCGCCCTAATTTATGTCACAAATTAAACAAAAGCTAGTGATCAAAGAAAATAGATGATATACGTACGAATTTAATGAAATTAATATTAAACAAAACCCAGAAATAAAACCCCTAATTAATCAACATCCAAGACTACAAATTAACAACAATAACCAGTAATCAACATCCTAATTAACATTCCACAAACTTAATCAATCAAACTAGAACATAACAGAAGCAACAGCATATGACATAACAAACCGAGCAAGAACATGCTTGAAGACTCCAACTGAGGAAACTGCAGCACCGGAAGATCTTTTGGCGTCGCCACCGGACGGAGAGTCCTCCTCCTCCGCCGCCATCACCTTAACTATCATGCGCTGTCCCCGCTCGCAGTGTCCAGCGGCTCCACTGATGAAGTAGAAGGAGCCCGAGTGGTTGAACGTGTAAACGGTGTTTCCAGTGTTGGAGAAGAAGCTGGGGCGAGTCGAGTTGCACTTCTTGTACTCCGCCTCCGTCACCTCCATCACCGAATCCTTCTTGTAGTGAAAGCCTGCAAGACCAACAAAAAAAATCTTGACAAGGAAATATTCTCAATTACTCTAACATATTAGGAGGAAGATTCATGTTTTCTTGTGTACTTAAAAGTTAATTACAACCTTCAAAACCAAAACAATGTAACAACAAAGCAAAAATGATATTCTAAGCTACTCTAGTATACTAGAAGGAAGTTTCGACTTGCATTTCATTGTGTACATAAAGCCTACAGAATAAAACAAAAGCGATATTCTAAACTAGTCTGATGTAATGAGAGTGGATTTTGTGCACGCAATGACGTTTGTACTTACGGATGGTGTCGCCAACTTGGAAACGGTTTTCGGAGGCCCAGTCGTTGTAGATTTTGGTGTCGTTGGCAGGAGGGACAACCCAGTCTTTGTTTCCACCAACCTGGAACTCGAAGGCGGAGGCCGAGAAATGACCAAACCAGAAGAAAACCATCATCAGAGAAAACAGATAAACCATGTTGCAGTTGAAGGTGGCCATTTTGGGAAGTGCTTTTTTCAGAAGCTCTTTTGGCTCTCGAGGAGATAAATTGTTTATGCGAGGAAAAACTGGCTGCAACGTGTGAGATGGTGTGAGGTGGGAAGAGTGGTTAATATAGAAGTGAGGGGTAGAGTTAGTTACTGCACTAGCACTTAGTGGGAGGTTTACGTGGAATATAGGAGATATGGAGGAGGATGAATTCGAATATGAAGTTTTGGTTGCTCGTCTGGAAATGCTTTTAAAATGATTGAAGTGTTTTTAGTGAAAAAACTTTTAGAACCAAACCTTAGTAAAAGCGCTAGTGAATTCTAAAAACGCACCACTTATGTGCTTTTCCAGAAAGCACTTCAACTGTTTTTAGAACCCAAAAACATTTTCTTTAAAAGCGCTTTCAATCATTTTAAAAACACTTCCAAATGACAGTACATTGAAAACTACATTTGTATATGTATGCGTACATTCGAAAATACGTTCAAACGGTATATGAACAATGAACAAGAAGCTAAATCTTTGCAGAATGAACAAGGAGATCTCTAAAAACAAAACTACTTATAACACAATATTCACTATGTGATTGTCACGTCCCTTACAACTAGCCGTGACTCTGGATCAGTCCCATGGTTGCTTGCGTTGCTAAAACTAAAGGATTTCTGGCTGAAGAGCTGGGCAAAGGCGCTCTTTGACCTCGGAACTGTTCTAGGTCCAGTGCTCGATTTGCTGCTACCGTTACTATTCGGTGCAAGATCATCGGAGATGGCGTCGACAAGATTCTCAAATCGGCGCCTGAAAGTTGGATACCTCGAGATAGATTTAGTGATACCTTGGAGTCTGCATGACAGGATAAGTTGGACAAATCATAAAAGTGAAATGGGAAAAATCAGATCCTGTTATACAAGAAAAAATGCATCAGTACCTTCGAGCCAATGCATCAAGTTCAGCCTGTTTACGCTCTGATTCCGGTGGTGTGCCAATGTTCGATTGTTTCAACCTCAAAGGATCCCCAGTCAGCAGAACTAATTTGCAAAGGTAAGCCTCTTCTGCTTCGGAAAGGTTTTCTGCTTTTATCTGGTCCTTGATGATCAACAGCGGATTGAAAAACCAATCAAAAAATTTTTCTTTTGGTCTGTTTGTGCTAGTTATCTCGGTAACATTGTCACCTGCATCAATCACGTATAAAAATTAATAGTAATTTAGTAAGTAAATCAAATTAAGTGTTTATTTGGTCTGTTAAGTTAACTGGAGAGGGAAAAAAGAATTCGACTCACTTAACAATATTCCCGGTGAATTGGCTTTTGCGGATCGCAGGAGTGTCTGAAGAAGGCAATATGCTGGTAAGCCAATGCTAATGACTCTGTTGCCTTGACTGGACTTGGCGTCTTCAAGGTCTTGAAGCGTAATAGTTCCGTCAGCAACCAATATTTGACCATGGTGTTTACACTCCTTAAATAAGGTATCAATGAACTACACAGGCCAAGAAAGTTGTTCAATGAGCACCGAAACCATGAACTAGATAGGATGTTCTTTCAGAACTCAAAACTGTATACTTTTGCCCACACATCATCAAACGCATCCAGATAATAGACACAGAGTACCTCAAGGGGCTTCAATTCAATGATAGGACCAGTGAATGAAGCTGAGCGGGAGGGAGCACTTCGAAAAGAGCCAGGCCTTGAGAAAGAGGTTGTGAGAGAGTTGGTCCGGAGCAATTCAGCCTTCTTTCGGTACTTTGGCCTGTCATTACAAGAAATCTATTACATAATGTTAAGGTACAAGACACCCCCATATCAGAACTTTAGAGTATAGAGTGCTGACTAGAACCTTGGAAAGCAGGATCCTTCTGGCATGTCAAGGATGTCATTGCTGTGTTCATCATATATGGCCAGTGATGCAACGATATAGCAAAGCCCGGACCAAATTGAGGATTCCTGTAACACAAAGGTTATAAAATATCTTAAAACTTGCAATCTACGTGACAAGGACATAAGAAAAATCTCCGCTTCTGAATTGGTATCAAGATCGTGTTATCCGATATGCATAGTTATTGTGTTTCCAAGTGGGGAAATGTTGATATATTTTCTCCAGTTTCATACGTGTTTGACTCCAGCTATACTTATGAACAACATAATCAATCAATCTAAACACATTTCATGTCCTTACCACAAAAAAAATATCTGAATATAAGCAACTTACATCAACCAAGCATGTCAGAGAAAAAAAAATGAGCAATGAATAACCTGATAAACGATCACTCCAGCGTAAGCACCAAGAAAGATACTAGCCACCATAGATCCCAACACTGCCCCAACAACAGCCAACGGCCAGAGTAGGATGGCAAGACCCGCAAATGGAACACATATTGTTTCCAAGAAAGGGCCTTCACGACCTATAAGGTCATGAAACAAACGGTGCCACCCCTTGAAGAGCATGTACGGGCATTTGCATAGGGCAATAAATGAGATCACTGGCATATCAACCATGAAACCAAGGGCTGCTAATATAACAGCCCCAGGAAGATATAGCAGCCTGCAAGAAAGTTGAAAAACTTCCCGTCAGACGAAAAGAAGGATCATGATGAATAGGTCTAACAAAAAGACAAAACGGTTGGACCACAAGAGCAAAAATCAATGAAACTGAACTGTTAAGGACACTTATAGCGTATTCTTTCTTCATCGCTAAGTTGACTGATTGATATTCTAATAGAAACATAAATAAGCAAGCAATAGTTTTTGGGCAGAACAAGACGACATACCTAATCTCATAATATTTTGTGACCGGAGGACCTCCGTGTTGCAGGTCATCCATAATTGAGAAGTAGGTGTAGTAACATACATCTCTGGTATCCCTCACAATAGTGAAGCACCCTTTGACAGTGCTCCAAGTTCCATCCTGAAAATATTGTGAAGGATGAATCTCTGTCACGGAGGCAACAAGAACAGAACGAGCGGCAAGGAACAAGAACAAAATAATTATGAGACAACATGAAAATTGGAGACATACATAAAAGCAGTGGTACAATTGATCGGTCTTCCCTTCTCCAACAGCTTGAAAAGTTTCCATTATCGGAGAAAAAAAGCCAAATGCTGCTCCACCCACAATACTACCAACAATCCCGACCACTGGCCACACGATCAAGACAGTAGGTAGTACACATAAGCAGATGACAATCTTCAGTACTGGCCCTAATCTCTTAGATCTGAAAAAATATATATATATACAGATATATAAAAAGAAGAATCGCGAGGAAGTTATTCTTATTGTTTTATTGCTCTAACACGACATGAGAAAGAGATTCAAGAGAGAGATAACTATGAAACATAGAAATTTGAAGATAGAGGCCAGGGGACGCACCTCAAAACGCAATAATAGGTCCAGACAAAGTGTATTGGCCAAAGACCGAGTATGATACCGGTGTTTCCGACTGTCATGATAAGGCATATCAACGGGCATAAAACGATACCTGAAACAATACTTGGATATTAGGTTTAAAATGCCTTCCTTATATCATACTCTTTCAAGCAATGCCTCTTAACTAATCAATCAACTCCTAATATCAACATGAACAAACCATTTCAAGATTGAACGCCGATTTCAAATTTCTCAAAGCAACATTCGAAAAGTATCCACAAGGCTTAGAGTTTTTATTGCATGCAATGGATTCAAAACAGCCAAACAACTGCCAAGCCCCCGAACCAGCAGAAAACATCGATTCGACAAATGGGAAACGAAAATCAAGAACCCAAGTTGTAAACTTTAATGAAAATAACAACATAAAAGTTTCAAGAGTTATCAATTTCCCATTAAAACTCAGAATTTAATACATAAAACAACCACACAATCAGTTTTTGAGTTACCTTTAATGCTGCCAAGGATCAGAAGGCCAATGAAGTAAGGAAGAAAGCAGATGAAGTTCCAAAGCGTAGCCAAAACACCCCTTGGAGGTTCCATCTTCCTCCTTACTCCTCAGTCCTCCTCACAAAACCAGATCTTCAAGCGTCAACAAAAACCCATCTCACACTCCAATTCCAACCTGCAATCGGAAAAACATAAAAAAAAAAAAAAAAAAACCAGTCTTACTGACCGAAACAGTGAAAAAACACCAATAAACCACACACCCAGTTCACCAAAAGTGAAAAGTTGAGAACCCATGTCAGAAACTTACTCAAAATCTGTGATTTACCCTTCTTCTGGCTTCAAGTTTGGATTTTTGAACGTTGGAGTTCAAAAATATAAACTTTAAATAACAAACAATCACATGGGGTCTGTAATTTGTGAAACGATATGACGGCGGCTGATAAACGTTTCGAATTGGCGGGAGGATTGCGAATGGTGTCCAGGAATCAGGATGAGGAGCTGAAGGAGGAGGATGCTTTAGCCATATTTTACTTTCGAGATTTTTGTTCACTTGAAACCAAAGCAAGTTGAGGTTCCCTTCGTATCGTATTAGATATTTGGGACAAACAAAACTCATTACACCAAAGAACAATGAACACAAGTTTCCAAAGAAAAAGAAAAATGAACACAACACACTAACTCGGACAACTCAGTTGGATATCACCTTAAGTAATTGACAAATTAGTACTATTTTATCAAATTGTAATTTTTTTACGTTCTCTTTCCTTATTTAATACAAGCGGATACTAGAAAAGTAGCGTATCAAATTCAAAACCGTGTAAAATGAAGGTTTTTATCGGAGCTACAAATCTTGTGTTGTCATTACATCAATATCATCTTGATAAGTTGTCCATATTGTTGAGTTATATTCTTAGTATAAATATATCACGCTAAAATATAGATAGTTCGAATAGTTAAATATACATTACGAATTAAACTCTACAAAAACGTGAGCAAAAAGTTATATAAAAAAATTGGTTTCACAAATTCGTCCCATGATATATTTGAGAACATTTTCCGACTTAAATAATTTTGAAATAATTAAAACCAAAACAATAATTCTACAGATTTGATCAATTTTTTTCAGAAAGCCTCCGATCTACCAGGCTCCACACGCTCAAAGGCATGTGATCAGATGTGTCCACTACAAGAATTTTCCTTGCAATTCACTACTCTCTTTTAAAACAGATAAGATCCTATTAGAGTTCTCTCATAACCAAGAGTCTCTTGTCGACGAGGAATTTTTCCTTCTGACCGAAACACGGGTGGTACATCATATATTTTTATAAAAGTAGTGAAAAATTATATTTTTTTTAATTTTTTTAAATTTTTAACACACATATCTCATCATTTCTATTTTAACATGCGATGTACCACTCTGTGTTTCAATCTT